GATACCGAACAATAGGTAAATTGATGCAATTCTTCTACCTCAACCAACTAACTCAACCGATCTGGTATTAGTTAGTTGGTTTTGAATGATCTTATGATGTTGAATTTTTCATTTAGACAATTGATTCACACAATTGTGAACGTTCACCACCTTTCATCATCAACATCATCATCACCACTACCCACCGTTACTACTACCATCACCACATCTAATTCATGTACTCATGCGCACATCATCCATCGATTTGTTCAGGTACAACAATTTGGAAAGAACTAATGATAATAACGTTTCGTGCAAGCTACGATTGGACGGTGATTATCAGAATAAAAACATCATTGTTTTGTTTTTACCAGAAAAAGTGAAAGATTAGAAGATAAATTTGGTTTTCACATAACGATATTCTGCGTACATTCACAACGAATATACTGTACGTACGTACGTGTGTGCGCATACATTTTCGACTAGTCACTTTTGCACGTTTTCATCAAACTCTTTGCTCATCATCCTCATCGTCGGCTGATTCGTTCAAACACCGTTAGCGAGTCCGTCCCCCTTCCTGGATATACGAACGTTAAGGTTTGCAAATTCCGTGAAACGTCGTTTCCTCATGTCACCTTTTTTCCCCGCTCAAAGTATCTTCAACTTTTGGTTAGTGAACTTTCCTCTTTTTATCATTATCAAAATACCACCTACGTAGTCTGCAAGATTACACCTGTTTTCTCATTCATTGTGTACAGTTCCTTTAATCGTTTTGACACATGTCAAAGTATGTACGAACACCATGTACTCTTAGCACCAATTAAATCCCTGTCTCTCTACGTTTCAAAAGATTCGGAAATTGCACAAAATTTTGGGAATACGTCTTCTTGTGCTCATGATAAGAATTTCATGAGAAATTTCGTCAACGTAGAAAAATCACAAAAGACATTTGAGCATTTATTATACTTGCACACCTACTTACCTATCGTGCTCATTACTAATCCATCATGACGCATCTCGTTTCCTTTATTCTATTGCCAATCTTTACTTGACTCTGTAGCTTGACATATGCTAAAACCCTAATGAAAACAATGAAAAAATCTTATTACCCTCTCACATATACCTAATTCGGTCATGGATGATGAAGATGATGCTCTTTAAGAAGACCCAAAGGATTAATTGTTCCTTAATCCTACACCCCCGTCCCAGTGTTGATTATGATAGAGCTTACATAAACACACATCCACTGATAAATTAAAAGCATTATCAAAACTTTATCACCTTTCATTAACGTCTGCAGGTCG